AAAATCCGGAGTTTGCGCGCGGTTTTGCCGCTCTAATGGCCCAAACGATGCCGGGAACATCGACAACTGCTCCGGGACACTCTATCATTCCCACGACCCCCGCGAACCGACAAAATCCACCGGCACAACAAAACGACGGAAGGACAACATCTCATGCTACATCTCAACCTCGTGATCGAATGTCGCAACCGCCTCCGGAACAAAATACACGCCGCATCGACGTCGGGCGTAATCTTCCCATAATTACTCATGAAGAAACTGCCGAAAGCCAGTCGGGTCATTCACGACGGTCACCACCTCATGCACAGCGCCGAAATCCCGCCAATCCGGCGCAGACCGACCTCCGACAGCATATTGAACGGAATCGGGCTCGTCAAGAATCATCCGAACTCGAAACACTACGACGACGAATAGCCAAATTGGAAAGTCGGTAGCGGGCACCTGAGGATCCACCTCGGCGGGCCTCCGCCTCGGCGCAAGTGTATTTGGAAGCCGATTCTCCCCTTACTCCGGAACTCACTTCGGAACCAGTTCCTGGAAAAGTTAAGGTTCCCTAGATCGGGCTATATGATGGAACATCTGATCCGGATTCGCACCTTGGTCATTATACTTCGTGGATGGATCTGCATGGGGCCTCAGACGCACTTCGGTGTCGTATGTTTTCACTAACACTGGGGCCTCGGGCCCAAAAATGGTACCATTCTCTTCCTCCTCATTCAATTTGGAAGTGGCAACAACTAAGGTCGGCTTTCCAATCTCATTTCATTGGGGCTCAAGTATGCCTGATCCCGAAAGAATCTCTTGCGAATATCACTCAAAAGGATGATGAAAGTGTCAAGGATTATATTGCCCGTTTCAATGACCGAGTTCAGAATATGGAACCTTGTCATCCTGAAACCTTGCTTGTTATGGCTATTGCGGGACTGAAACCGAATTCGATTTTCCGCTGGACGCTATGCCAAAATAAACCAAATACTTTCCAAGAATTTCTCGCTCGAGCCCAGCAGCATATCATAGCGGAAGAAGCCATGTCGGTTCCCGATTTCAACTTTAACCCAAAGTCTTTTAAAGCGGGAACCGACGAAAAAAGGAAGAATAAATTTTTCGACAAGCAAAATAAGACTCAATTCTGGGGGCCTCCCCGAGGAGATCCCAATGATCCTGAAGTTCGAGCAGCCCGAAAATAGTACGCAACCAACGTGAAGTCCGGTTATCAAACTGTGTACTCGGCGGGAGCGGCCACCATTTATGAAGAGATCAAAGGGAAGGGCATTCTGCCAGATCCCAAGCCACTTCGGATGCCTGAAGAAAAACTGGACAAGTCCCGATATTGCGACTATCATAAGTCGCCGGGGCACAACACGGACGAGTGTTTGAGTTTGTTGGCCGCGTTGTTGCGTCTAATCGGCCATCCGCAGCTCAGGAAATTTTATCGTAATACTGATCCCCATAGACGAGGTCCTGGACGCCAGATCGAATCATTTGATGATGAAGACGATGAGGAAGACCGAGGTGCCATGACAAAACGCATCCGACAAGGGGAAAAGGAAGTATTCATGTTCACTTCGGAGAAATCCGATTCTAACACTGCTGGCACCTCCCAAAGACGAAAACGAGATAGGTCTCCCGAACCAATGCAAATCATTGTCCACCGAGTCAATACTGACAACCCCCGGAGTACACTGTCTCGTCGACAAGTCAAGGCATATGCTCGACAAGCGCACAACTCCGGCAAACAGGTCTACACCACCGATTTGAGAGATATACTCAATAACCGGAATTGCCCAATAACCTTTAACATGGAGGATGCTAATCATTTTGCTCATCCTCATTCCGACGCATTGGTTATTACCGTCCCTATATGCGGTATTCCCGTGCATCGTGTCATGGTGGACACTGGGGCCTATTCAAGTATCTTGATGTTGAAAGCTTTTGACAAGATGGGCCTTGACCCCGCCGAAATCCGACCTTGCAACGATCAAATCCAAGGGTTTAATGGCAGTATTTCAAAGCCCATCGGAGAAATCACCTTACCTGTCAGATTTGGCACCTCGGAGAATGTCACCAAGCTTGTCATGGAATCCTTTAAGGTTATGGATATTAATAATTAGTACAACGCCATCATTGGCAGAACGGCATTATACAAACTTCGAGCTGCAGTATTTATCTTTCACTATGCATTAAAGTTCCCAACAACTCGGGGAGAAGGAACCCACATTGGAGATCAAAGGGAAGCTCGACAACTTGTTACGTTTATCCCATCCAATGGAGTTCATTCGACTTCAATGGGTAATAATGAAGCCTCCCCACAGCAGCACGCTTCAGACGATTCGGTGACTGAAAAACCAAAAAACCACGTCGGTGACCCTTCCACCTCGGATCCCTTAACCGAAGACCGAGGTCGCCGAGCTGGAAAAGAGCCACTCCTCGAAGAAGACGAGTTGGACCCCAGAGCATTGTTTAAAGAAAAAAGTCGAGCTGATCGAGCCGAACCTGGAGAAGACGTGGAATTGGTCTATATCGACGAACCAGTCTTCCACAAGTCGTTGCGCATCGAAAGTCATCTTCAGGAACCACTCCGGTCAGAACTTATCTCGTTTCTCAAACAGAATCCCGATGTTTTTGCCTGGAATCACGAGGATATGAAGGGCATCGACCCCGGTGTCGCTAGCCACAAACTAAACCTCGATCGAACTGTCCGGCCTGTTGTACAAAAGAGAAGGAAACTGGGGCCGGATCGTCAGAAGGCATTGGAAGAAGAAGTCAAAAAACTCATCGACAATAAGTTCATCAAGGAAGCCCAATACCCGACGTGGGTCTCAAATCCTGTTCTTGTCAAAAAGAGCAACGGGTTATGGAGGTTGTGTATTGATTTTTCCGACCTCAATAAGGCATGCCCAAAGGACAGTTATCCACTTCCTCACATAGATTATATGGTTGATGCCACGTCGGGACATGAGTTGATGAGTTTCATGGACGCTTACTCCGGCTACAATCAGATTCCGATGGATCCCGAGGACTCTGAACACACTTCATTCTATTCGACCCGAGGTCTGTATTGTTATACTATGATGCCGTTCGGACTAAAGAACGCCGGAGCCACATATCAACGTCTTGTCAACAAAATGTTCGCAATGCTGATCGGTCACACTATGAAAGTGTATGTTGATGACATGCTCGTCAAGTCGGTACACGCCTCTGGTCATATTACACATCTTCAAGATATGTTCGCCATCCTCCGATCTTATTCCATGGTGCTGAATCCTAAAAAGTGCACTTTTGGAGTTGAATCCGGAAAATTTCTGGGTTACATAGTGAGCCAGCGCGGCATTGAGGCCAACCCGACCAAAATAAAGGCCATTCAGGATCTAACTCCTCCAACCTCGGTCAAGGGTGTTCAGGCCCTAACTGGCCGGCTTGCTGCACTCAACCGGTTCATCTCCAAGTCAACAGATCGTTGTAAACCTTTTTTCAAAGCGATCAAGAAAGGGAAACGTTTTGAATGGACCGAAGAATGTCAAAAGGCTCTTGACAGTATCAAAGATACGCTGGTCTCTCCCCCGACTTTGCAAAAGCCGAAACAAGAGGAAATGTTGTTCTTATACCTCGGAGTCAGCGATTCTGCTATTAGCGCTGTTTTGATACGCGAAGAGGGATTACTGCAATCACCCATCTATTACGTCAGCAAAGCCTTGCACGATGCCGAACTACGTTATCCTCCGATGGAAAAGTTGGCGTTGGTACTTGTAATTGCAGCCCGAAAATTGCGGCCTTATTTCCAAGAGCATTCTGTAACTGTTCGCACTTCGTATCCACTTCGGCAAATCCTGCACCGACCTGACACCTTGGGACGCATGGTAAAGTGGGCCATTGAGCTCGGACAATTCGACATCCATTATCAACCAAGGACCGCGATCAAAGCTCAAGCCTTATCTGACTTTATCGCTGAGTTTACCCCGGCCATTACCGTTCATTATGATAATCAACCATGGGTCCTCTATATTGATGGCTCCTCAACAGTTAACCGAGCAGGTGCAGGGATAGTCTTAGCTGATCCAGAAAATCGGTTATTCTGCCACTTGGTAAAGTTTCTCTTCCCAGCAACAAACAATGAAGCCGAATACGAAGAGCTGCTATCCGGATTGAATTTGGCAGAATCCATGAATGTAACTCACCTCAAAGTCTTCTCAGACTCCCAACTCCTTGTTAATCAAATCAATGGTTCGTATGAAGTCAAAGAACCTCGGTTGACACCCTATCTCTCTTTGGCCAAACGGAAATTATCACGATTCTCCGCCGACCTCGAGCACATCCCCCGAACTCTTAATGTTCAAGCAGATGCCCTATCCCGACTTGCATCCAGTACCGGGATGGAGAGCGCGGAGTACGTCCAAATCGGCCAACAAGAACAACCGTCAACTGCCCTTTCCGAGGTCACAACCATCAATCCGGTAACATCACAAAAATCACCAATTTGGATGGACCCTATCATCCACTACCTAGAAACTGGGGCCTTACCTCCAGACCCAAAAGAAGCTCGAGCACTTCGGATTCGGGCAGCTCGGTATACATTAGATAACGGAACCTTATTTAAAAGGGGATACTCCGTCCCGCTTTTAAAATGCGTGAGTGAAGCCGATTCACGATACATCCTTGAAGAAGTCCACGAAGGAATTTGTGGAAGTCACCCCGGTGCACAAGCATTATCTTATAAAATTCTGCGACAGGGTTATTATTGGCCGTCCTTAAAAACTGACGCCGCTGCATGGGTCCGTAAGTGCCTAAAATGCCAAATATTCGCGCCTAATGTTCATCAGTCTCCCGAAGAGCTCACATCAATCTACAGTCCATGGCCTTTTGCCAAATGGGGGATTGATCTTATAGGTCCTCTACCAATCGGAAAGGGAGGCGTCCGGTTTGCTATCGTGGCAGTCGACTATTTCACAAAATGGGCCGAGGCCGAACCGTTAGCCACGATAACCGAGCAGAAGGTCGTCGATTTTGTATGGAAGTCAATTGTCTGTCGCTTTGGAGTGCCGAATTCCATCATAACCGACAACGGTAAACAATTTGAAGGCAAACGACTTGAATCCCTGTGCGAAGAATACAACATCAAGCACTTCTTCTCATCGCCTTACCACCCGCAGTCCAACGGCCAGGTTGAAGCTGTAAACAAGCTCATAATGAACGGTCTCAAAGTCCGACTTGACGCCGCCAAAGGAGCTTGGCCTGAAGAGTTACCACATGTCCTGTGGGCTTACCGGACTACCACTCGGACCTCTACCGGCGAGACCCCATTTTCCTTAACTTACGGTTCAGAAGCCGTGGTTCCAGTTGAGCTCGGAGAACCGACCTACCGAGTTCAGCATTTCACCGAAGAGGCCAACTCGGAAAATATGAAAGCTAATCTGGACCTACTTGAAGAACACCGTACCCGGGCCGAACTCAGGAATGCTGCATACAAGCAAAGAAATGAAAGATATATCAATTCTAAACTCAAACCCCGTTCGTTCCGAGTCGGAGATTTGGTTCTCAAACGTATGATGGGGCCTGACCCCGGACCACTCAAACCGCGGTGGGAAGGACCCTTTCAAATCATTAAGGTCTTACCTCATGGGACCTACCGGATTGCTCACCCCGATGGAACACCCCATCAATATCCCTGGAATGCTGTGTTTTTAAAAAAATTCTATCAATGAAGGATCTGAAGTCGGATAGCCGACCACCCTTTTGCACGGACCTTCCTTTTGCCACGGTGGATATACGAAGTCACCCTTTTGATGTATCGAAAAGCCAGTCGGCTTCCACTTTTGCAAATTCAAACAACAGCTCCTTGCTGATATAAACATTTTGAAACTCGGTTCTATGACTACTATATACCGATGTAAGCATTGCGACACTCGGTCTAGTTGATACCCCATAATATGTCCGAATACCACATATTTTCGGATGAGGGTGATGCTCGTCAAACGTCATCTCAACATACTTGATTTGACGGGCCCCGAATATTGCCGAATACACAACATATAAGTCGATTGGGGCCATTCCATAATCGAACTCTGACGAAGTTCGGTGACTCAATTTATTCCCCGTACAGCCCTAAAATTGTGTTAACTTCCGCGAAGTTATTTGAAAACTCGCATACCGACTTACACTTGTGGCTGAAAACGATCAAAGTGGAATTCGGAGATTATCTCTGCAAATCCATACACCTCGGATTATAATTCAAATAATTCCGAGTTGAAGCAGTTCATTTTACAATACGCACCGAATTCAGAACATTTTGACAAAATCGCTGAAATTTGCACAGCAAACATTAAATCAAAATCAAAGATACGCAAACACTTTATATATAGATATATTCGGAAAAGTCTGGGAAACCCCTTACATATTTCCTACTAAGGGAATCGATTATCCGATATCCCCGATTACATATCAAACTTCAAATATTTCCTACTAAGGATGCCGACATGCCGGCACCCCGATTACGTATTGTAAATAAAATAAAACAAAAAACAGGAAATAAACTTCAGGCCTTATCAGTTGGCTTCTCCACATTCTCCCCGGTGCCGCTGCTTTCCCCAATTTCGGTCCCGGAAGATAGTCGCTCCAAGACCTGCAACTCCTTCAACTTAGCGGCAGCTTCAATGGCCCCATCCGGCACCGGGATCAGATCCTCACGAGGGTCGGGCAGCTTGTTCACTTCATCTTCAGCCGGCGTGGTGATCTTAACGATTTCTACGTCCTTATCGGCCGACCTCGCCTTCTCTTCAATGTAAGCTTTGACTCGGCTCTGAATCTGCTCCGGAGTCATATCGTCGAAATGCTGTTCGACCTCCACCTCGGCCAAAGTTGAAAGATACACGTCGGCCAGCTCCTTCCTTTTTTCCTTCTCATCCTCTAAGATCATGTTGACATAGGCACGTCGGAGGAGAGCAGCCCTATCCTCGGAGAGGGATAGAAGATCAGGATTTGCCTCCTCCGAACGACGGAGCATCCATACGCAGAAGTCCCGTTCATCTTCATCAGCCGCTACATGCATTCTCTTTATCTCCGAGTCAAATCCATACTTCTCCAATTTATGAAACAGAAACAAGCGAAGGTCGTCAACATCGTAATAGTCGACATCATAACGCTCAATGACCCATCTCAGATTCAAACAGGTATTCATTTCGATCTCAAGATCGGGCCCACCGGTTTCATCATCTTCACCGGCCTCAGCATTGTCCACCTCGGCATTGCCCCCGGACTTCGGTTCAACGAGAACCGAATCTTTCCCGGCTTGAAAACCATTCTCGTACATAAACTCGCCGTAAGATGATTTCTCCCTCTCAAGTTTGGCTACATCGGCCTGATGAGCGTCGTGTTGCCGACCTACAAGTTCGCGAATCTCAGCACATTCTTTGCGAGCTGCACCATGATTGGCCTTCTCCTCCAATAAGGCCTTCTCGGTTTCCGCCAGCTTAGCCTCGGAAATTCTGAAATGCTGCTCCACTACGGCAAGGCGTGCTTTGAGATCGGCCACTTCGGCCTCGAAAGTCTTCTTCTCCTCAGACAATGCCGACGTCTCCGCCTTTGTCTTCTCCAACTCGGCAGTCTTCTCAGATATTTGACCCTTCAAATCGGCCTCCATTTTTGTAGACTCTTCCTTCAATTGGACGATCACAGCGTCACGCGCAGCAATGGTATCCTTCTTCCCTTCCAGCTGCGACGCAACCCGGCGATGATCGTCCTCGGCGGCCACCAAACTGACCAAGGCCCTGCCCACACACGCCTTGGCATAGCTCAGCTTATCAACGCTGGACAGAGAAGAGACCCCCACCTCGGACTTGGGGTCCCAAACCATCAGCGGAACCCGAGCTGCATTTCTAGCATTTTCTGGCATCTCAATCCTTGACGACATGTGCGGCGACTTTACAGATTGAAAGGTGGTGAACCACTCTTCCACAACACCCACGGGCACTTTCACATTGGCTGCCCGTTCTTCATCTATGGTTAAAAAAGACTTCTCAAACAAAGGAGAATCATCCATACCTTTCTCAGTTACTTTACGACCGGAGTCGTGTTTTTTCTTAGACCTCTTCTCCACACCAGAGGAAGCACCAACATCC